GCCTGTAGTCCCAGCTAGTCGGGAGGCTGAGGCAAGAGAATCACCTAAGCCCAAGAGCTGGAGGTTGCTGTGAGCTGTGATGTCACAGCACTCTACCAAGGGTGACAAAATGAGACTCTGTCTCTAAAAAAAACAAAAAAGAAAGAAATGAGACAGAGTGAAGAGAGCAGAGACTGAGGAAAGGGAAAATGGGGGAGGAGGAAGGAGTGAGGGAATGGCAGCACCCCCAAAGAAAGAAAGGAAAAACACCTGTCAGTAAAATTCTTATATACAAATGACTAGTGCTATGCTGAGAATGTTTGTGTCCCTCCAAAATTCACATGCTGGAATCCAAACCCCCAAGGTGATGGGATCTTTGGGAGGTGATTAGGTCAAAAAGATGGTACTCTTTTGAAAAGATTAGTACTCTTTTAAAAAGGACCCTAGGATGCTAACAACCCATCTGCCATCTGAGCACACAGGAAGAAGTTGGTAGTTCACAACAAAAAGAGAGCTCTCACCAGAACTCCACCATGCTAGCACTTTGGTCTTCCACTTCCTGGCCTTCAGAATGATGAGTGATAAACTGCTGGTAGTTATAAGCCATCCCATTAACCGTATGATATTGTGCTATGTATAATGCATATCTTTTTGCCCAAATTTTTTAGGGAAAAATAAGGATGTATGTGGTGTTACTAATTCTGTATGTATATAAATGTGTTTAATTATTTTATTTATACTTATTGAGTACGAGTATTGATCATGTACTACATGTCTTGGAATTTGTATACATTCTGGAATGGCCATATTGAGATAACTAACATATGCATTATGTCATATACTTATTTTTTGTAGTGAGAACATGAAATTTACTGTTCTAGCAATTTTCAAGAATACATTGTAAACTATAGTCACCGTGCTGTACAATAGAGGTCTTGAACTAATTTATTCCTTCTAGTTAACTGAAATTTTGTAACCTTTGACCAACATCTTCCCAGCTTTCCTGCATCTGGCCCCTGATAACCACCATCCTATTATCTCCTTCTGAATTTGACATCTACATATAAGTAAAATCATGCAGGACCCACCTTTCTGTGTCTGACTCATTTCACTTAATATAATGTTCTCTAGGCTCATCCATGTTGTCACAAATGACAGAATTTTGTTCTTTTCATGAGGCTGAATACATTTCGTGTAAATGTACCCCATTTTCTTTATCCATTCATCTATTGATGGACACTTAGGATGATCCCAAAACTTAGCTATTGTGAATAATGCTGCAATAGACATGGAAGTACAGGTATTTCTTCAACACACTGATTTCCTTTCCTTTGGACATATATCCAGTAGTGGGATTGTTTGATCATACAGTGGTTCCTATTTTCAATTTTTTTTTTTTGAAACAGAGTCTTAAGCTGTTGCCCTGGGTAGAGTGCCATGGTGTCACAGCTCACAGCAACCTCAAACTCTTGAGCTTAGGTGATTCTCTTGCCTCAGCCTCCCAAGTAGCTGGGACTACAGGCACCTGCCACAACTCCCAGCTATTTTTTTGTCGCAGTTGACATTGTTGTTAGAGTTGGCCTGGGCCAAGTTCAAACCCATTTGGCCTGAGCCCTACCCATTGAGCTACAGGTGCCATCCCTATTTTTAATTTTTTGGGAAACCTCCACAGTGTTTTCAATAACAACTATAACTGATTTATATCCCTAGTAACAGTGTGCAAAATTCTCTTTTCTATACATCTGTGCCATGACTTGTTATCTCTTGCCTTTTTGATGACACCTATTCTAAAAGGTATGAAGTAGTATCTCATTATAGTTTTAATTTGAATTTCTCTACTTATTCAGTATTGCTGAGTATTATGTTGTATAACTGTTGATCATTTGTATGTCTTCTTTTGAGAAATCTCTAGTTAGATCTGTTGCCCACTTTTTAATTAGGGTATTTGTTTTCTTGCTATTGATATGTTTGAATTCTTTAGATGTGGTGATTATTAAAACCTTATCAGATATATGACTTATAAATATTTTCTTCCATTCCATAGGTTATCTCTTCACTCAGGTGATTGTTTCCTTTAATATGCAGAAACTTTTGAGTTGGATATAATTGCATTTGTCTCTGTTTGCTTTTGTTGACTACACTGTTGGGTCATATTGAAACATCTTTCCCCAGACCAATGTCTCCTGTATTTTCTCCTACTAGTTTTACAGCTTCAAGTGTTACATGTAGTGTTAAAATTCATTTTTAGTTTC